CACATCACAGCTGCCCACCATGTTCTGAATCTTAAAGTCCAGGAACTTGGCAGGAAAACCAAGCTTCTGCACTACACGAGCGTACTTTCTAGCTGCTAGCCTCGACTGCTCCTCACTGGAGAGAAGGTGAGTTAACGTGAGGCAGATTACAGACAAAGAAGAAGAAAATTTGTATTGAAAAGAGGAGAGGCAGGGCTAGCAAATGTCTCGCATCTTACACTGCTGGTAAGGTTTAATGTCCCCACTAGAGACACCTTGTGAACATCAGCACACAAAAGGTGAGGAAAAAAAACGCTACATTCTGACCTCTTAGCTCCGGTGCACACCATCTTCCCAGAGCTGAAGATGAGAGCAGTGGTCCTGGGTTCTCGTATTCTCATGATGACAGCAGCAAAACGCTAGAAGAAAGAAAGAACAGCAATCCCTAATTTGTACATTCATGCTTCCCTATAATCAAAGCCATGAGTGTTGTTCAGTATAAACACATCCAGTGTATTTTATGGCAAAAATGTCCATTCAGTTACTCATTATGTAAAAAGAGGACATTTTAGTGTGATGATAATACTAAAGAAAAGATGCACCATTCATCATTACTACTACTCTTATTAACAACAACTGGGGTTACAAACTTAATCACACAATTGTTTCCACAAGTACAGATTTGAAAGTTCTTGCTTCAACCATCAAACAGCCCACAAAGTTCAGGAGATCCACTGAATGACAAAATAGTGTTCCTGCGCTAAATACCAACATGATGAACGTTTTTACATCTTAACCCTTTCTTGGCACCGATACTGTTTTATGGTCCCCTTTGCTCTTACTCTTGTATATTATGTGCATTATTGTCTGCTTTAGTGGCTTTTTTTGGTCTGGAACTACTGATGATACCGGTTTCACAAGAACACCCTTATAAAAAGGTTTCCGACCTCAGTGGGATTCCCCTGGTCAAACATTGGTTAAATAAACAAGTAAACAAATAAAAGAAGTGTAGCTTAAATTTTGAATCCACAGTTTTATCATTGCTAAAGACACACTCTAAAGATGGTTTTAGCCCCACTGCTCAAATCAAAGCTCAAAACTGCAACCTGGTATATCTCACAAATCTTTAATAAATGGGATAACACTGGACATAACTAAATCTACATCTGTAATATTTTAATGCTGTAATGCCCTGTTTACATCAGTATTGGAATAAAATAGTCCTATGAAAAGACCTAGAAACTATCCTGTTCAGGGCTGTAGGGACATTTTACTTCTGTTCCTCTTCCGGTGGGTTTCCTATGTGCCTTTTGAGTCTCTTCACTTTCCTGCATTATGATGAGCCAAAAATTCAGAGCAAGGTTCTGTGTCCTCATTCTCCCTGTGCAGGATTCTTTATGCTGATCTGAAAACTCACTGTGTCACACAACACCTGTTAAAATAGCGTCCGCTGAGACTAACACAGATGGTTATACAGTGCCTATAAAAAGTATTCACCCCATTGGATATTTTAACCTTTTTAAAAGGGTGGTGAATATTTATGCAATAACTTATTTCCCATTACATGTTTTTGTTAAATTGACATTACTTTGTAGAAACCCGTTTTCACTTTGACAGTTTTTGTTGTCAAAAAAGCCACATTATATTGACCATGACTGATTTATAAAATCAATAAAAGTTTAAAACATCCAAGGGGGTGAATACTTTTTATAGGCACTGTATCCAACTTGATATTCCTCAGTTTTATTGCTGTGCTTTTAAAAATGATTTACAAAGTCTGTTGCATCTTTGAGCTCCGCTGACAGGCAGTGTAAAAAAGAAATCAAATTGTTTCAGTCTTACCTTTGGGTTGTACTCTGCGTTCCTGGCTCTCAGGGCGATGGTCTTCAAGTCCAGTTTACAGCCCAGATTTACAGTAGACACAATGTTTCTGATAGTAAAGGGAATAAGACAGGCACAGATAACTGGTTAAAAGACATGAGGAAAGACTATTCAGTCAGTAGCTCAGAGTTTTGGTAAGTATAACAGGGAACAATGAGGTAGTCTCTGAAATGTTAGCTATATTTATGTGTGGGGTGTAAATAAAATTTGATTCACACTGAGCACAGTGCAGTTCCTTATAGAAATATCTAGCAGTAAACTAAAACTCAACAGTTACCACTGACTAAGGTAACATAAAGGGCAAAGTGTGTATTAGCAAGGCAATCTTCAAGAGTGATGGACATAATAGGCCCAAAATTATATTCTAACAAGTCTTTCCACTGGATCTGAAACGTACTGAAGCTGTGGTACTATTCCAGAGCTCTCTGAGGCTGGTGTGGCCGGTGTGATAGGGGTCATGGGGGTCACCGGGGTGTTGTAGAGCGGGGTGTTCCCTGGTAGTGCTGTTGTAGTGGAGCCTGTTACTGTCTGAGAATGAAAAAGCTGAGGGGCCTGCCCCGATGTCCCAGGGAGACCTGGAGAGAAAAGAAAGTTGTTTTTTTTAACCTGTATTACAAACTGATGATAAATTTTCACTATGTTAAAGTTAAATAATAAGGGGGAAGAAGCCAAACCCAGAGACTGAGGTTATGGTCTTACCTCAAAGTGGGAAAGGATGGAGGCAAATATGACACAAGTGTGTGATGTACCTGTGTTGGCCTGCTGTGCCTGTTGTTGTTGTTGTTGCTGTTGCTGCTGCCTCTGCTGTTCTTCCAATATAGACAGACTGTTGGTGTTCTGAACTGGCTGCGGTGTCAGGCCTGAGCCATATGGTATTATGGGACTGAACATTGGCATGCTTGGGGTCATAGCACCCTGCACAAAATGACACCACCAGAAAACATGACATTGGAATTTAACACACATTTGAAGCAAATAATAGTGACAAAAAATAGCACAAAAATGATCAGTTTTTCAATTCGCCTCTTCTTTACATGAAGTGAAAAACTATATGCTATATATCTTTCAGTTGATTTTCAAGTCCACTAATCTTTTACATTTTGGCGATTTTCACCAGTGAAAGAAACAGAAGCACTGTGTTCAGTACTGTGATTCTTGGACTTCAAAAAGCTATAGGCATGTTTAAGTTGGCTTGCTATTTCCAAGCACTGTAAACAAAAGAGTGATTCCAGAAATACAGTTTAGCTGTGGTGCAAGCTCACTGCAACTTCTGGGCAGCCTGATGTCAAAGTGTGAAGCTAGGTTTTGGTTATATGTGCAGCTCCAGTTTGTGGCTGAGTAGCACACTTATTCCAGTATTTGCAGTACATTTTGTCAACAAATATAAATCGCTACTGCAACACACACGACGCAGAAATGAACCACAGTTCTGAAGCTGAGGGATAAGAGCTCATGTACCTTGTGAGTGTGCTAGACAGCTATAGTGAGCTTGAAGTGTGAGGTAGAAACCTGGCCCTGTATTAAAGCCAGGTTCGAAGTTCACGTTGGTGATAGGGTAAGTTTACTTTGAAATGTCCCAACCACAAAATACTCAAAAGCCGTGTTACCTGTGGGGAGGACAGTCCCTGAAAGGGCGATATACTGTTGTTCTGGTCCATCTCTTCGTATTAGTTCACCGCCACCCAAGAGCAGGCAGTAACACTGGGGTGATACCTTTAAAGGGAAGCCTCAAAAGTTGTGGGTCCAAGGTCTAAATTACAGCAGAAAATCGCCAACAATCAGTGTGGGCTGGACCCTACAGGGAGCACCCTTCTCGTCTGTGCTCTGTCGGTAGTGCCGTGTCTGAAAAGGAGGATACAACCACGGTTTATTAGGACACGTGCTTTATTATGTGTAATTATTTATCACCGAGTATCATCAAGGTTTAGTGGATAACTTGAAAATTACATGAAGCCACAGCTGCAGAGATGGCGCGAACACAATCACAACCTGCTAATCACAACCAGCAACGACGTTAGTTTAGCTCGTTCATTCATTTTGGTTCCAGTGCATGATACATAATTTTAAACGGTTTTGGATGCAAAATATGGGTGGCAACTTTAACAATACCCAAGTAGCTTTTCAGAAGGCTGCACTGGAAGCACTCAAAATGTAACATATCAACACATTGACCAAGTTAGCTGTAGAGCTAATGTTGGCTAACATGAACAAGCAAACTCGATGCATTGCGGCTTTATCTCCTCAAAAGAGTTGCAAATAATGTTAACATTTGCTAGTGCATCGCAGCACATCACATGTCAACTCACGCTCACAATGTCGTGACTGATTTCAGCGCTGCACACGAAATTATTCAGCTTCAAATTCAGACCATCCCCAGTTCTAGTCTTCAGCGGTCATAAACGTGGACCCGGAAGTAAAAGATCTATTTCCACTCCGTCACACTTAACCGCGGACAGAAGAAAGATGGCGTCTCTGAGTGACAAATCAGTTTGGGACGAAGTGGAAGATGGAATCGGCGAAGAAGTATTAAAAATGTCCACAGAGGAGATAGTTCAGCGAACTCGTCTTCTGGACAGTGAGATAAAGATCATGAAGAGTGAAGTGCTGAGGGTGACCCACGAGCTGCAGGCTATGAAGGATAAAATCAAGGAAAACACGGAGAAGATAAAGGTGAACAAAACCTTGCCGTACCTGGTGTCTAACGTGATCGAGCTGCTGGATGTGGACCCCAATGACCAGGAGGAAGACGGGGCTAATGTGGACCTGGATTCCCAGAGGAAAGGAAAGTGCGCTGTCATTAAGACGTCCACTCGACAGACCTACTTCCTGCCCGTGATCGGGCTGGTGGACGCCGAGAAGCTGAAGCCTGGAGACCTGGTGGGTGTCAACAAAGACTCCTACCTGATCCTGGAGACCTTGCCCACTGAGTACGACTCCAGAGTCAAGGCCATGGAGGTGGATGAGCGCCCCACAGAGCAGTACAGTGACATTGGAGGTTTGGACAAGCAGATCCAGGAGCTGGTGGAGGCCATAGTCCTGCCCATGAACCACAAAGAGAAGTTTGAAAACCTGGGCATCCAGCCACCCAAAGGGGTCCTGATGTATGGGCCACCTGGTACTGGGAAGACCCTTCTGGCCAGGGCCTGCGCTGCTCAGACCAAGGCAACCTTCCTGAAGCTAGCAGGTCCACAGCTGGTCCAGATGTTTATTGGAGATGGAGCCAAGCTGGTGAGGGACGCCTTCGCCCTGGCCAAAGAGAAATCCCCATCCATCATCTTCATCGATGAGCTGGACGCCATCGGAACCAAGAGGTTTGACAGCGAGAAGGCGGGAGACAGAGAGGTGCAGAGGACCATGCTGGAGCTGCTCAACCAGCTGGACGGATTTCAGCCCAACATGCAGGTCAAGGTAGGGATTCTGCGACCATACAATGTTTATCTAGTATGTGTACTGTGTTGTCTGGTTGCCTTTCAGGACATTGGACTTCTGTGTATCAGATGGCATTCTCAAATATTTCAGAAATCTTTCTTCAAAAATCTGACTGAGTAAATCCTCTATAGAGTTAATTCACACGGCAGAATTGTCTACCACAAGATGCGAAATTAAGAAATCATGCAGATGTGTTCAAAAAAATTGCATGACTTTACAGTCTTGTGAAATTTAAACCATCAAAATCCAACACAGTAACTGCATCAGAGTAAATCAACAACCAAAAACCCTTGAAATATCTCATTTCACATTACAGTATTGTTAATAAACAATCTTTCTTAATTTTAACATCGGGATACTATCAGACTAAATCACTAAACAGAAAACTATCAGAATAAAAACACTTACAGAACAAAGACATGTACCACTCAAACTTGGAGAAAAAAGGGAACTCAGTACTCAGAAGTGCTTGGGTTCTGGACAACAAGGTTGAACAAGCTGACCTTTGCAAATTCGTCTGACTTTAAATAACACAAAAAAAAATGAAATGAATGAAACATGAAATATGGACACAGGAAAGTACACTAATACAAAAAATACAAACATTTGAAGTTTTCCGAAACTACATGGCAACTGGCAAATTATAATGAGTTAATATACAGACCTAACGTAGTAACTTTCCTAAAGTTTATAGTAAGAAAAATACAAACATTTGGAGTTTTCCCAAACTATACATGGCAACTGGCAAATTATGAGTTAATATACAGACCTAATGTAGTAACTTTCCTAAAGTTTATAGTAATAAAAAAAAAAATTTTCAATCTGCTTTCCTTTAATTCTCCACAGTGGAATCTAGCAATACAGTATAACTACAGTACAGTTTTGGGTATATTTGCAGGTGATTGCTGCCACCAACAGAGTCGACATTCTGGACCCTGCACTGCTGCGTTCAGGTCGTCTGGACAGGAAGATCGAGTTCCCCATGCCAAACGAAGAGGCCAGAGCTCGCATCATGCAGATTCACTCCCGCAAGATGAACGTCAGTCCTGACGTCAACTACGAGGAGCTGGCCCGCTGCACCGACGACTTCAATGGAGCCCAGTGCAAAGCTGTGTGCGTGGAGGCTGGGATGATCGCACTGCGTCGTGGAGCCACAGAGCTGAACCATGAGGATTACATGGAGGGGATCCTAGAGGTCCAAGCCAAGAAAAAGGCTAATCTTCAGTACTATGCCTGAGGACACTGTGTTTGGCTGAGAGTCTGTGATTGTTAAAAGAGTTGTTGAGTAAACACTTTATAGTTGCTGATTAACTTGGGTTAATAAAAAGAAATAAAATGTCATAACTAAGGGTCTGTGTGTTTCCTCCCACTAAACAAGGAAGCTGGAGTCTGTGTTTGAACATTTTCAACATATTTTCATGATTTTATTTTAAAAGTCAAACTCCAGATATCCAAACATGCCCTTACAGGTAGCCCAGTGGGAATATAATATTTCAGTCAAGTTATTAACTGAACAAATGCCTGTTTAATTTTAACAGTGAAACTCAGGTAATTACAGTATATTACTATCACTGAAATATCTTGGGATGTAGATTTGGTTGTTACATGTTCATTGCATCACATATCCAACATCAAGAAATAAGTTCTGTGTGTGGCTCGGTTTTGAATGTGGATAATCAGACTGAGTTTCTACTTTGCTTCAGGCTGTAGCTATTACCAACCTTTCTTGTTTTCATATACATAAGGATTTGTGAGAAACTCTCCCCTTTAATGAGATGTTTACATACAAATATGCAATATATTGTCCATATTCATTCATTCATTCATTTTCTACCGCTTAGTCCCTGAACGGGGTCACGGGATATTGTCCATATTTCATATATCAATCCCTCCTGATTAAAATCTGTTATCAAACTCATATGCTTTTTATTCTTTATATTATATCTGGAAAATGTGCATGTAATGGGAAGAATAAAACTGCACATAAGCCACAGGATGCTAACTGTGAATCCTGAAAATAAATCATAATGGGGAAGTTATTTATCATATCATTATGTTAATATGCACATCCATCTATTATCTAAACTGTTTATCCTGAATAGGGGCACAGGGGTGCTGGAGCCCATCCCAGCAGACATTGGGTGAGAGGTGGGGTCCACTCTGGACAGGTCTTGCTGTAAGGTGACAGTGCTAACCACTGCACCACCATGCCACTGTAACATGCACTTTTGTATTTTTCTTTTATATTTGTAGCAGCTGTAGTAATAAAATATTTCACTATGCCATTAAAAATGTAACATGGCATTTCAAGTAAAATATGTTTGCATTTTAACTTAAAATTACACGATAATATAGTGCAATGCAAAATTAAAAGGTAAAGCACTATCACTAATCAATTCAACACTTTTGAATGACAAAAATAATAAACACTCTCACTTGCAATTACCTTTTCACATCTTGGGGTAAAAAGAACCGGGCAGTAAACCATGAGCATCAGACAGTTTTATCTGGGCTAGAGGGCACAATAACCAAGAGCAGCAGACTTTTCAGTTCTTCTACATTTATTAAGAATGTAAAAAGAATAACAGAGTTTGTGCCCTTCCAAAACATATCTCCAAACAGAGGGAGAGTTTAGGCAAAGGTGACTGAAAAAGGTGCTTCCCAGAACAGGAGTGCTGATCTACTGTCAGTTTGTTTATCCACAGAAATAAGGATGCAAATGTGAAGTGGATACATCTGAAATGAATGCAGTTGGTGAAACTGATATAAAAAAAACCAAACCTCTGGATCAACACTCCCATTTTAAGAACCTAATGTAAAAGGGCCAATCTATCAATGCAAATATGGAAAGAACAAAGAAAAAAGCAGAGGCAGATGGAAACATTTTTCCTCCTCAGTCCTTCCTCAGGGGTACTGTCTGCTCTGTAATGCCCTCCTTATTGATGATGCAGATTCGAAGGGCATCTCCGGTGTAGACATCTC